CGTGCGCGCCTGCGCAGCCCGGGGCCTGAGCGCGCCCGCGCCCGCCAAGGCCTGCCTAGTACGCCTGCCTGCGCGCGCCCCGTAGCCTGAGCTCCCTCGACCACCCACCCAGTGCGCCTGCGCGTCCCCTGGGTTAGCGCGCATGCCACTGCCTGCTCAGTGTGCTTGCCCTGCCCCGGGCCTGAGCCTGCACCTGTTGTGGGCTAGAATTCAGGGTGCACTGATAATGTACTGTCAGGAGTAGGCCCCTGCCGTCCGGCCCCTCCCACAACTCCCTGGACCTGGCCATCCCTTGATCCTCTTTTATGAAATCGTCAATTAAAACCACCTATTTTGTATCTTTTTGTTCCTGCTTGCCTTTATTTCTTGGCCAGTCCTGGGGCTTGAGCTCAGGGCCTGGGCAGTGTCCTTGAGGCTTTTGCTCAAGGCTCGGGCTCTACTACTTGAACCATAGCGACACTTCTGGCTTTTTCTGCTTATGTGGTACTAAGGAATCGAACCCAGGGCTTCATGCATGCTAGGCAAACGCTCTATCACTAAGCCACATTCTCAGCCCTGCTTGCCTTTATTTCTCCTCCTGCACCTTTCCTCTTCCTGCTTATCCTTTACCTCTCTCCCCTTCTCTCCCTTCATCCCTTATGCAAGCATGAGGTCCTGAGTTTAAATCCTTAATGTTGCTGGGAGCCAGAGGTTCACACCGGCAGTCCATAGCCGCTTAGGGGGCTAAGAGCTGAGGATCATGGTACAAAGCCAGCCCAGGCAGGATAGTCCATGAGACTTTTATTTCCATTAATCACCAAAAAGCCAGAAGTGAAGGTGTCGCTCAAGTGAAAGAATGCCAGGCCTGAGGGAAAAAGCTCAGGCTCTCACACACCAATACTGTATGACCCAAGAAAGAGATAAAAGAAATCCCAGGCCCTTGCTTTTACAGAACTCCAGGGGGAGGAGGTGTATGCCACACCTATCAATCTGTGTTGTTAAGACATCCATAGAAGAAAAGAATACAAATGTGGCAAGCAATTTCTAAACATTTCCACTCTCTTCCTGAGAGCTCCTGTAGCATCTCATTCCCAGACTTCCTCCCCGATCACCTGGCTGTGTAGCTGTTCTGGAAGCAGGGGACAGGCAGGGAGGCAGGGGTGGTACACAGGTTTGGAAAACTTTGAGGTCAGATTTCAACCTCAAGGAGGTCAGGGTGGGGGTGGGGCGGCTAGCTGCTGAGATCCCTTACCTCCTGTGCAGTCTGGAAATTGCACCAAGCATCTAAATTTCCTCCTGCCTATGTCCCCTGCATTAGGCCCCAGCCTTGGCCTTGGGCTTTTTGGCAACACTGTCTAGGATCCAC